AATAACTACACCCGGAAAAATGATCCACCAATCGACTAACAATCAGGTTCCTACTTACTGCTAGGTAAACAAAGGCGTGTTTACGTGGGGTAGTGCCTCGGAGCACACAACAATAGAGTACAGTAGCTTAACGCCAAGCCAGGGAGGTGACCATAGACACTATGGAAGAGGAAAATCTTCAGGTGCCATCTGAAGATGGGCAAAGGGGGCACAAGGCGGAGGGATTGAGGCATAGACATCCCGAGTTTCGAGGCGTAATGGCTGAAAGCATCGCCCCCAATCCTGGAGCAGAGGAAATGAGGAACATTTGGAAAGCCCAAGCCAGCTGAGCAAAGGGAGTGGGTAGAGCAGTGGGATATGAGCAGGTTGGAGAGATAGAGAGATGCTAGGACAGATGCTAGTGCAAACTCAGCACTGGAGATTTTAGTTTTAAGCAGCACTGACAGAGAAGTGCAAAAATAACCTTTACCAAATTCCAATGTTTTCTCAGAGAATCTCAACCCTATTAACATTCTTTCCATGTGGAAAGCTTAAAGATCATTCCTCCTGCAGCCGGCAAGAAAGTCAAACGTGGAGACCTGTAGCTCAGTGGTTAGAGCACTCGCTTTGCAAGCGAGAGACCTGAGTTCAATTCCAGGCAGGGCGAAACCTTGGGCAAGTTTCCTTACTCCACACAGAGCCTAATAATAATCCCTCCAAAAAACAAAACAACAATAAAATTGGTCATTTTCAATCTACGACTGTTTGTGGGACATTGCTGTGCGCAATTGGCTGCCGCGTTCGCCCACAAATATACAGTCAATTCACTTTACAGTGTGTTCTGTGAAGCGCTTTGGGACGTCCTCCCGAATTGAAAAGTGTTATATCAAATGCAAGGATTATTATTATTATAACTGGACTAAATCCAATTGCAAGCGCAGGTTTGCTTCAGTCAAACTTGCAGGACCCTTCGAGTATCCAGTATTTAAGGAGAGATGTGTATTGTGTTTAATACACGTAAAAAAAATCTTGCATTTATTATAGCGCCTTACTTAAGAACCAATGAAGAGGATAAATCCCACTAAATTTGCACATGGCTTACACATGGGGCATAATAGAGCACAATGTAAAGAGAAGCTCATATCAATATATTCGTTAACAAATACCTGCTACATAACTATTCTTCTTCTACTAGGGCACATTATTATTATGATTATCATAGCCACAACATCTTCACTCTTACACCATGTGGCTTGGTGAATATAACACAAAATGACAACCAACTTTATCCCTGACTAAAGAGTGGCAACTAGGTCAAAATTAGACAAAACAATTTCCACTTGCACAGCGCCTTTCACACTGGGAGGATGTCACAAAGCGCTCAACAATTCTACAAAGTCTTTACAAAGAATGTGCAGCACGGAAACAAGCCGCTCGGCCCAACCAATCCTTGTCAGTGTTTATACTCCACACAAGTCTTTCATGCATTCCTTTACTCGCTCCCATTCCCTTCTATTGCCCTCTCCCTGGTGTGAAGTTCCAGCTTCCTCTTGAATGTATCTACACCATCTGATTCAACCACCGCTTCAGGTAGCGAGTTCCACAATCTCACTACACTCTGTTGGCACCTGAGTCTATCACAAGTTCAGCTCCTCCATTCCCTAATCAATGCTTAACAATGAAGTTCCTCCTAAATTCTCTTCTCTAGTCACTATCGTATATTTGATGCCCTTGGTTACGAGATGGTGAGAACCATTGTGGGGGATGAGGGGGTGGGGGGGTTGTGGGGGGATGGAAACATGTTTTAGGACATACCTTTAACCAAGCTCAGAACAAAATCATTTTGCTCAGCACAGGTGAAGGAAAGAAGAAGCAAAAACAACAGGTAGATTGTTCCTCCTTCCTTTGGATAACCCAAGCAAACAAACTTATGAGGTAGCTTGTTCATGAATCCTTCAGGTTAAAGTAATGTCACAATCAGACCCTAGGGCGTTGAAGTATAACTCCAGAGAGCAGCAATGGCCGGCAGACTCAAGAGTGAGAGGTGTTGGCACCCAATTAGCAACAGAGGAACAAAGGGAAGCCATTTAGCCATTGATCCTGTTTCACCAACTGGGTTTCTGGGCACCACTGAGTCTCTCAAGCTTGCAAGCTGTGTGGTTTTAGCTGACATCCTCCCCGAGCTCGGGGTCAGACTCCGCCACTGTCAAGCATTCCGGGAAGCTATCCCACGTGAAGGGAACTATATAAATGCAAGTTGTTGTCATAGTAGTAAGACTTCAGCAGTTACCCCAACGCACATGCTGGGGTCCCCAAGCCTTGGCTCCTGGCAACCTGCCTCTAATACTTTCCGGAATTAGGTAAGCAGAATGCGTCCCTCCGGGGAGAGAGTGCGCATTCCATTCAACCAATCTTTCTCTGGGATTTCCATGCGTAGGTGGGATGCATGGAATTCTCAGTTTGGTTTGGATACTCTTAAGCATGGTGATGGGTTTCTGCACGTGTCAAGACACCCGGCTGATCCCAAAAAACAGTCTCTCACAATCCCAGCTCCTCCAAGCCCTAAACAATGCTTAAAAATGTGTTGCCACAGAAACAGATTGCTTCTAACTATGTTTTTTTTAACAGACACATATCACAGAATGTCCCTAATTCTGCACTTGCTAAAAAAAAGTAAAGCGATTTATAAACTGGGATTATAAACAAAATTTAATTTTTCAGAAAAAAAGCAAAACTCCTCCATATGCAAAATGCAACAAGTCAGATTTTGTACAGAGTGTGAAATTCTGTCAGAGAGCGAGTGACTTGGAGGCTCCAGGAGCCTTGGATCATGGGAGATGCTTTGGTTGTGTCAATTTGGCAAGTGCCATGAAGCGTGATCTCCAGGCAAACCTGGACACCTCAACTAAAGACTTGTCCAATTTTCCCAATCCCTCATTCTGCTCTAAACTTCGAGGTACAATCCTGAATCTCTGAGTAATCAACAAGTTGCATTTATACACCACCCCTTAGGCAGGGTAGCGTCTAAGAGCGCGAGTCGTTGTCTCTTTCGCAAGGACTCGCATACCTACACCCCCTAGGGACCCGCCCCCTCCCCATATCATATGTGTGTCTGTGTCCGGGGTGGGGGGCAGTTAATGTTTGATGAAGCATTTAAAAAAAAACAGGACAGAACAAGAGTAAATTTTGAAATTGCGGAAAGAGATTCTTCAGGAAAAGACTGCTCCGTTCCATGTAAATTTACAGGAATCAAGGCAGTTCCTGGCAATAGGCAACAAAACAGCTCCAAGCGATTATGAGCTTTTCAATCATTTGGTACGGTTTACTGACTCCAGACTGGTCTGATGTGAAAGTGTGTAATGTCAGGCAGTCCCACAAGAACATAAGAATTACAAAACAAAAGAAAAATAAGGTCCATTCTACAATCCTGGCAGTCGCATTTACATGTCATGTCCCAAACTCAAAATACTGTATCCCGAGATATTATTTCCTAAAAGAAATCTATTTAATTTGCTTTTGAAAAAAATCCTAACCCAACATCTCACGACCTCTGGGCACAATTTTTCCCAGTATTTAGCGCTCGTCGGAAACCTCCCTCTGAGATCCCAGAGGATGGCTAGGGTGACTTGAATAGTCACACTGGCTCCACAGATCTAGTAGCTCCTCTGAAGTTGGGGGTGAGGCATACTCTTGGGTCAGAGGAGAAAAAGCTTTGTTCTACAGCTACTTGAGCTAACCTTGACCTGGGAAGGCGTGATCTAAAGGAGAATGGCTTCACCATTCGCCTTAATGAAAATAACTTTCTCGCCCGACCCCCCACTATCCCCCACCCCCACCCAACAGAAGGTGAATTCTATGTGTTTTTTCATGATATTTAAATTTTCCAACATCAGTAAGGAATGACGTCTCGGGCTCAATGCCAAAACAGTGAGCATCATCCAATAATAATGAGTTTGTTCTACTGTGTTTTTCCTCATTTTCTCTACTCTTCCAACCCCTCCTCTCTTAAAGACATCAACTCCCCACAGTACTATTCCCCATGGGTGCCAGCAGTACCTGCTCCCCCCCCCCCCCCCCCCCACCAACACACTGGCCGCTGATGAGCCACCAGTCAACTGGCTGGTTCAAGACCAATCTCGACGTCACCTGATATTTGCTCCCTGGGTGGCGACCAGGAAGGAGAACCCTTGCGATTTCCCCCTCTTGAGGTACAACCCACCTCTCCCATCCCCCCCCCATGTCAAGGGTGCTAAGGTCTATTGCACTCACTAATGCATCTTACTCACTGCTGATGAAAGGTCATTACCCTGAAAAGTTAACTCACTTTCCTCTCTCCAAAGATGCTGCCTGACCTGCTCAGTGTTCCCAGCGACTTCTGGTTTTATTTTACTCACTGCCGTCCTGGCTGAGATCAGCTAACTCAGCATGTATCATACCCACAAAACCTCTTGGCCTGTACAGCTCAGCGATATGCCCAATAGATTGTCAGCCTAATCTAAAACATTCTTCTATAAGGAAAGCAAGGTTTGTTCTACTGAGGTTGCACGCTATTCCTGACCTTCATCCACTGCTTAGTCGAACAGCAATAAGACATCCGCACAATGTAAGCCAAATGTGCGATGTAGTAAATTTCTAGCAATATCCTAATAAATGCAGATTATTATAACAAAGTTCCAGCTCCGCTGCTAGTTTGGTAGAGCTCTCCAGTTAACATTCAGGAGTGGATTTCTCCAGCTCTTCCCTCTTCCCTTCCCCCCCACCACCGCCACCACCATGAATGATCATGCCTTACTGCACATATAATAGCATTTCACTGTGTATATATAAATATATATATATATGCACATGTACATAAAATATATAGATATATGTATATTATAAAATTGTAAAATATGTATTTATATTACTCTGGGAGGCTTCCGCAGACGCAGGTGCCGGCTGGTAGTTTGGCTGTCAGTCTTTGGCCATTGCCAGGCGTGGTGGACCTGTATCTGACATGCCGCATGAATGTGGAAGAAATGTTGAAATTCACACACGGTGCGTTCGTTTATTTGCCGGTTTGAATACAGGCTCACCGAATGTCCAAGAAAAGGGAGATACGGTGGGTGACCAGGAGACCAGGTCACCAAGAGAACGGATTGCTTTCCGCCTGGATCTGGTTGGGTTGCAGTCCCGCCGCTGCCAGTTCTTTGCGAGTCTCTTGATCGTGAGATGTGCTGGTGTTGGTTCACATTGGGCTCTTTCGTTGGGGAGTCACTCGTAAGAACTGTTGATGATAAAATAAAATGGAGAGGGGAAAGAGAGAGAGAGAGAGTGAGAGGGTTGAACTATTTTCACCTGATTCCTACTCAAAGGTTTATTCTACTAATAGAACAGGTTTTTGAGGGGGTTTTAAAGCCCTTTTGCCATTGGAAAAAAAACCTTTCTTGACTTTAAAACAACAACGAAAATCACATTTGTACAGTGCTCTACAGTCATGGATGCGCACCCAAGCTGGGGGTGCACATCTTTGACTGTCCCAACAACAAAAAATACTCAATTCATCGCTGTGCACAATTGGTTGTCGGGTTTCGCCCACGAAATATACAGCCAATCCACTTTACAGTATATTCTACAAAGCACTTTGAAACATCTCAATGTCATAATAAGGCACTACATCAAATGCAAGGATTATTATTATTATTATTGTTGACAAAATTACTTCCCTTCCTCCAACACCGCACCTGGAAAAGTCTCATCTGTAAGGACTGCTAAAGCATCTTAACTTGTGTTTTTTCCTAACAGGATTCCCACCGGCCTCTGTAAGAACTGGCAGGGAGCACACTTCCACACTTCCAGATTAACACTTCCTGTTAATCGATTCATATTGTTTTTTAAGGAATCCTGGTAGAATTTCCGCAAATTCGATTCCACTGATTCTCTCTTGAGAACCCCATAGATCTGTACTCTTGCTCTCAGGTTTCTGCTTTCACCATCTCCCCAGGGATGCCTGTTCCATAAGTTTACTACTTACTCACTGAAGTAGTGTCAGCTAACCACTATTTTTTCACAGAGCTCGTTTTGCTTCTCAGTCTTTTGGTGATGTCCCTCCATGACACACCTTGGCTTGTCACCTGTTTCTCAATGAACAAATATGCCGCGACAATCCACTCTTAATGCTTCTTTTATATAAGCCAGCCAGGAGCAGCCCTCCTCCCGCACAGCCCAGCCTGGCGTTCTCACCCTGCATGCTCACATTTTAAGCAAATACACCATTGGAGTGCTCACCTGAAGAAGGGATTCTTTAAGTCTAGTATGTTGCCAGACTTGAAGCCCGTCTGGTCCACAATAGCCATGATGTGAATGTCGTAGCTCTGTCTATCACACAAAGCAGAGGGAGACAAGGGTCAATTATAGTCCACTTTCCACTCAGGGTTTCCACATATATTCCACATATTTGCCGGTCAGAGAGGGAGAGGTCATGGAACATTTGCCAGGAAGGGTGGTTGAGGCCATGACACTGGACTCATATGAAAACAGCTTGATGCTGTGATCTGGGGATGGTAGGGTGGATTTTCTGGAAGAATGAGAAAAGGGCCTTCTTCATTCAAACTAATCTTATGATAGGAAGGGACCATTCAGTCCCTCAAACCTGTTCTGATGGTTTACTAGATTATGATTGATCTTTTAATACCATATTCCCCTCCCTCCCCACCCAACATACACCCATTTATCTGTTCCCTTATTTTGCAGGTATCTAACAAGCTGCTTTTTAAACATCCCAATTGCTTCTGTGCCCTTCCAGCAATGGACGGCTTTTGTGGCAAACCACAAATACACCGTCACTACATTCTGCAGCTATGTAACCATTCTTATTACAGCAACAACAACAATTTGTTTAAGGTTTCGGGGGGTAGCGGCTGAAAGCACGACTGTCGATAATGCCCATCATCATTACAGTAAATGCTACAAAATGCTTTGAAGTCTTTTGACAACATGATAAGATCCTAAGTCAAATTAAAGGATTAATGTTAATAAATTATATTTAGATTGTAGCTTTGGAAGTGTAGTAAAGTGTTGATGGATTACAAAGAAATAATGTAGCAGTGCTTCTAGGAATATCTCGGTGCCTCCTCCTCCTCCCCTCCCTACCGGGAAGGGGGAGGAGTTAATTTAGGAGCCCACCCATTCTATTCCCAAATGAAACTCACATGCCCCTCCTTCACAAACCCAGGAACGTGATTCAAACGTGAAATTCTCTGTCACTAACTACTGTTGAGATAATCTGTAAATTCCTTTGATTTTTTGGGGGAAGTCAGTCGGGTGTTTGACACGTGTGGAAACCCATCACAATGCTTAAGAGTATCCAAACCAAACTGAGAATTCCATGCATCCCACCTACACGTGGAAATTGTTGGAATGGAATGTGCACTCTCTCCCTGGAGGGAAGCATCCTGCGAACCTAATTCTGGAAAGTATTTTGCCAGGAGCAGGTTGCCAGGAGCCAAGGCTTGAGGACCCCAGAGTGTGCGTTGGGGTAACTGCTGGAGTCTAACCAGCTAAAACCGCATCACTTGCAATTGATATTGGTTGTCCAGCTAGGATCACCCTACCAGTTAGGGCTTTGGCTTGCAGAAGTTATGAACTTGAAAACGAGGGATGTGAAATGGTCAGGAGCCTGGCGTTAGAACAACTGGTTTGTGAAGATCTTGACGTTCAACTGCAGTAATACCGTGCTGCCCTGCGTGTGGATAATTATAAAGGAGCCATTGTCCAAACCTTTACGTCTCTCCGTCCAGAGGCAAACACGGAGACAAGGCTCGGTGGCGGGGGGTGGGGATTGGTGAGATTGGCTACAGTTGCCCTTTCAGTTCTTACCTTTTATTGGCCACCAGCAGGACTCTCCCTGAGAATGTTTCTCCAGCTTTGGCAAAGAGCGGGGTCTGGAGCAGGCAACGAACCTGATACCAGTGTGTCAGGGGTTCTGTGGGAGATGTGGAAAGCCAGACTGTCTTTCTGATGGGGGTAAAGAAAACAAAATAAGATATTATTTTAGGGGGAAAATGCATTCCGCTATAAAACAACTGCAACATAAGAACTCCCTTCGATCGGTTGCTTTTTAACGTGTAAAGGAGGGAAACTGTTGTTCAGATAGACAATGTACCTCTTTAATTATACACAATTTCTTCATGTAAAATAGGAGAGAGACAGAGTGTGTGTGTGTGTCTATGAATCAGAGAGTTTTTGATTATTAATTTTTTTTTAGATAACATTCGTAGAGTGTGTAGCTATTACAGGAGATGTCTTTCATCATATTTGTAAATATTTTTGTCATCGATATGTGTAAACGTCTATATGGTTTGTAGTTTGAACATCTCGTATAGACGTATGAATAAGGACTTTTGATTCACCCTGTATTTGAGCGCGTGTCTGTGTATGTGACAGATAGAGCATGTGACTGTGTGTGAGTGTCAGTGTGTGTGTTTGTGTGTTGGAGAACATGTGTTTGTTTTCAGAGTGTGAGAGAAAGAAAGTGTTTTTGAGAGTGTACGTGCAAGATAGAGTGTGAGAGAGTGTGAATGAGTGTGCGCCAGTGAGCGTGTCTATCCATCAACATATGTTGGACTTTTCACCCCAGCAATTCCTCAGCTGCCATCATATATATTGATTCGCAACCCACACTGTGCTGACTTGGTCTCAGCAGCACAACCTCAATGTGGGGTCCATCTGGTTTCACTCACACCAGATACACTGAAGATGACTGAAGGAAGGTTTGGGGTAATTGCACACAACCTAACGCTAAACGTGGACCCCACTCGTCTGGGCAACTTCAGTGATGAAAACTAGGGGCGCACAAAGTTCATACCGAGTAAATCCCTCGCGGAAATGATCCGTATCCTACTCCTTTCCCTTCCCCCATGTGCCTGGAAACAGAATGTCAATCGAGCCAGCCCTCTTTGGTGGTCTCGGTAGTCCGGTTCCTGAGCCAGGCGGGTCCGCAGTACTCCAGGGCACTGCTGATCACAGCACAGCCAGGCTGGCTCATCGGCAGGACGTGGAAAGGTAAACCAGTCATTGGTAGCCCGGAATTATCCCACTCAACTCCTGTTAACCCTCCAAGTTATTATCTCAGGGGCCCCCGGCTTCAGAATAACTAAAGATCTCCACATTTCTCTCTTTCTCTGTGCCTCTATCAATCTGTCATGAACTCTCTTTGTGCCTCTCAATATTTCTCTCCTGCTCTTTAAGTGCCTCCTTCAATCTGTGTGCATTTTTGTGTTTTCTCTGTCTACGTTTCTTCCACCCTCTGTGTCTCTCTTTCCCCTTGTCTCTCTCTGTTTCCCCTCAGCTCTCTCTGTCTCCCCTCATCTCTCTTCCCTTGTCTCTCTCTCTCTCGCTCTCTTCTTTCCTTGTCTCTCGTTTTCTCCCTATTTCTTCATCCCTCTCGGCTCTTTCCTCTTCTTCCGCTCTCATTTTTCTCCTCTCAGTGTTTTGTTTCTGGCTCTCCCTGTTGTATGATGACATGTTTGGGTGGGGAATCAATTCGATGCGTTTGCCATAAATCCTATTCAATAAATCCCATAAAGACAGACAGCTAAGTGACCACAGGGGGGAGGGGGGTGGGGGGTGTCATAGAGAATATTTACTACACTTACTGTGAGCCCACAAAGGCTACATCAAACCAGAAAGCCAAGCCGTGGACAAGACCAGACTGGAGAATGTGGAAAACAAAGGGAATCTCCATTCTGCAGAAACAAAGTGAAACAAAATCTTTGTGAAATACTTTGCACCGGAGACAAGAGACCCTGGAGAGCCTATTTATTCTGAATCACACTTCATTCCCCCCTCCCCCCACTTCATGACTAACGCTCACACTCAACATTCCCAGCCTCTTGGGTTATTGTGCTGGGTTTTCCTGATTTTTGTTCAGTGCTATCCCCGCCCGCCTGTCCTTCAGGGGGACAGCAATGCACTTTCTTCTTCCATCACACCATAGCTTTGTTTTATAGGAATGGCGGAAAAGGCAGGTGTGATTAATCCATAAATAAATAAAGAGAGGCTGAAGCAGAAGGACTGAGGCAGGAAGTTCCAGAACACGTTTTGATGCGATCTGTAGTCTGAAATTAAGATGCATCTAATTTCTATTTCTCCCACAAAAATATGCAGTGAATCCACTTTACAATATATTCTGTGAAGCACTTTATGATGTCTCAACGATGTGATAAGGCAATAATATCAAATGGAAAGATTATTATTCTTATTTTATATGATACAGTGTACATTACAAAGGTAACTAGCTATTATTTAGTGTAGTATACAGCCTGGAAACTCACCAAGTCTGTACCGCATTTTCTTATCAATCAACAAAAGGTTCCTCCACCCATCATTTACTCACCGGTGCAAATCGTCTTCTTTGGATTCCAGGAAATTCACAGTGTACTTGACAGAGCGCGCCATCAGAATGACCACGTCAAAGGTATCCTGAAACAGAAGAGACAAGACACCTTACACCCACAGGCCTGGGAACTTCGGGTCACTTCCCTACAAGAGTATGAGTCAATGGGATTGGAGGCTACAACAACAACTTGCATTTATATAGCATTCGGGGCAGTGTCTCGGAGCGCTTAACAGTGGTAGAGTTTGATGGTGAGCCAGGTGGAGGGAGGAGGAGACTGTAAACACGGTCAAAGAAGGTTTTCAAGTTGTGATCTAAAAGAGGTGAAGGAGGAGGCAAGGTGGATGGATTGGAGGAGAGAGGTTCAGAGTTTTGGGGTGTAGTGGCTGAAAGCATGGCTGCCAATGGTGGAGCACAGGGGACAAGGGACAAGCATGAGGTCAGAGCCAGCCAAGCAGAGGCAGTGGGTAATGGAGTGGGGAGAAAGCGGGTCGGAAAAATAGGGAGGTGACGTGAAGGGATTTGTAGACAAGTGAGAGGATCTTGAAATCGATCCATTCTGTGATGGGGAGCCATTGGAGCCTGGCAAGGATTGGTGTGATGGGGGTGCAGAGTTTTGTGCGGGTGAATATACGGGTGGCTTTTAGAGGTGAGGTGCAGACTGAGATGATGGATCACACCTTAGGCGATGGTGGCTTCTGAGCTGGATGAACAGGAGCGGGACATTTACCGTCCTGGGACTAATTCCCATTCAGTCAGTGGTCAGACTTACTACGATTGGCTGCTTGAAGTACTCTTCCACAGCCGCACTGCGGAGACTAGAGAGATTAATCCCGTGGAAACACTGTTGGTACCTGCGGAGAGAGCACAGAGATCATCAGGCAAGGCAGCTTTTAGTGCAGGGATATAATACTTGCATTTATATAGCGCCCTTCACGCAGGATAGCATGTCAGAGCACTGCCCACTGGCGATGCTGCATGATGAGCCAGGGAGACGGGAGAGGGGGAGACATGGTCGAAGAGGTAGTTCTTAAGGTGGGGCTTAAAGCAGGATCAGAGCTATTAACATAACTAAGCCCATTCAGACCCAATAATAATAATCTTTGCATTTGATCTAGTGCCTTATCACGTCTTCGCGATGCCTCAAAGCGCTTCATAGAATATATTGTAAATTGAATTGACTATATATTTTATGGGTGAAATGCGGGAGCCAATTGCACACAGCAGTGTCCCACAAACAATTGTGGATTGAGTGACCAAATTATCATTATTTTTTTAAAAGAAATTATTACCCCTGGAAAAGCGATCCGCCAATCAATTAACAACCGGTTACTGCTTACTGCTAGGTAAACAGTGGCGTGTGGAGTAAGGAAACTTGCCCAACGTTTTCCCCTGGCCAACCCAGGATTAAAACCCAGGTCTCTTGCTTGCGAGGTCAGTGCTCTAACCACTGAGCTGCAGGACTCCATGGTTAACATAATACTTGCAGCTTAACATCCAAACTGCCACTGAACTGGTTAGCCCCGAATTGGCCTCCTCTGTTTCGTGTCTATGATTCCTCTCTGAGGAATGTTTCCTCATGTCCTCTCTCAGGGGACGTGAGGAAACTAGAGGAAGGAGCACAGCAGCGTGACTGTGGAAGCAAACAGATCTGAAGCAGCTCTGTGTACCTCGGCTCTTCTCTCTAGCTCTTGTTTGCTTTCTGTCACGGTGCTGGGAGAACACACCAAGAGACTGCACCGACCCTGTGTTATTGTTGGGAAGTTTCCTTGAACAATCTTGAAGCTGCTTTCAGTGGGGCTCTCCTCAGATCAGCTTTCAGTCAGGCTCTATTCAATCTCCCAGTTGGCACTGGGTTCACTCAGAGTCTGTCAGTGTGATGGCACTCGGCACAGTAGCGCCTCCCCCTTCACCCCTCCGATCCTCAATCCCCCCCTCCGTTCGACCATAAATGGCCCTCACTTCAACCCCTAGACACCTCTCCGCCCTTATCACTCAGCCCCCTCTCGACACCACTTTTCTGTTGACACCACTTTCCCCTTCCCCCAATTCCCCCTCCCAGTCCAACACTGGGGCAGCACTGCATTGGTGGATGTACCATCCTTCAAATGAGACATTACACTGAGGCTCCCGTCTGCCTGTAGCGTTACTTGAAAAGGGACGTGTGTTTTGTCCCGGCCAACAATCTCCGCCCATGTAAACTGTCCACTTACCTCAAGGCTGTTTGTGCGCGCAAAATTATTGCCGTATTTGCCTGCAATATACACAGTCACTACACTGGACAGCAATTGCCTGTGAAGTGCTTTGAAATGGTTTGACCTTACAGCCACCATAGACATGGGGTGATTCAGAGCGCAGTGAACGCCAGGAGCCTGTCTCTTACTGTGTCTTGGGGTATTTCATTGCTGTAAACATTTGTTTGGCTTCAAAATGAAGCTCCTCTATTCATGGACTGAGTACACTTTTCCTACCAAAGGGGTGGGGAAAAGGGACCACCCAGAAGGCATCCCTTATCCTGACGTTACCTACAGGCATGTTACGACTCAGTCCTCGTAATTTCCAAAATGCAGTGGACCGCAACCTTAGCGAGAAATCAGTTGCACAAAGCGTTCAGGCAAAGCGAGACAGATCATTCCTCTCTCCCACCTTATGTATTTTAGTGAAACGTTACCCAATTCCACTCAGTAAACAGCAGGCTGGCTTCCAACCATTCACAGAAAGGGGAACAACAAGCTTAACCAGATTTCTCTCTGTGCCCCTTCCCGTCACCCCACCCCACATACACACACACAAGAACATACCAGAAATTGGCCCTGGTGTAATGTTCCATGTAAAGCTGCTCGTCGGAAAACGGGGCCAAATGAACATCACCGAAGGTGGGAAACATCATCCCTGAGGAAATATACAGAGAGCAGAGTATAATAATAATAATAATTATAATAATAATCCTTGCATTTGATATAGCGCCTTATCACTACGTTGAAATGTCTCAAAGAGTTTTTTTTAAGGGATTATTACCCTGGAAAGCGATTCGCCAATTGACTAACAACCGGGTTCCTACTTCCTGCTGGTAAACAGAGGCATGTGGAGTAAGCAAACCTGTCTAAGGTTTCGCCGTGCCGGGGAATCGAACCCAGGAGCTGACCCATATGCTACAGGACTCCAAGAGTAAAGAAGCTGCCCCTCTGCTTAGCATCTGGACTGATTGCAAGTCAGTCAGGGTAAAACAGTGCATTGATCTCAATGTACAAGCCAACTAAAAGTTTGACAAATTGACAAGCATAAAGTGTGCGAGGGCATTGCCCCCACTCCATCAGGGCTCTTAACCTTCGGCCTCCCTCCCCCACTCTGACACTTTGTGATGAAGAAATTACCTTCGATGGAATTATAGAGGTGATCTGTGTCCTGACACTAACAGAAATTCAGGATTTGCTCTATGTACCCAGCCTATTGGAGCATCCAAGAATTTAGCAAATTAAAGTTGAATTTGGTCTTAACTCTGTATGCGTTGTGCTTACATGTGTCTGTGTGCGTGTATGTGTGTCTACGTGACTATGTGATGTGTGTTCGTGTGTGCACTTGCGTGTCTGTGTGCAAGCGTGTGTACATGTATCTGTGTGTGTATTCTGTTGCGTGTGTGTGTTCTGTGTGTATATGTCTGTGTGTATATCTGTGTGTGTGTATATGTGTGGGTCTCTCATCACACAGAGGATACAGTTCAAGATCGTGGTCCTCACCATCAACGCCCTCCATGGCATTGCTCATCCTTACCTCGGCGACTTTCTAACCCCCTACCAACCACCTGATCCCACCACTCAGCGGGCTCCAGCCAGCTTCACGTCCCCGCCTCGCCGGCCCACCTATTGGTGGGTGGGCCTTCTGCCACTCTGCCCCCACCCTCTGGAACTCCATCCCGCAGTCCCTCCACCTCGCCTCCTCCCTTGTCTCCTTCAAGACTCGTCTCAAGACCCTCCTATTTGACCGTGCTCTTGATCACCCTCCTTCCCTCCCTGCCCTCCACCCTCCCCAACCCCGACTCCCAGCTCGGGTCCAAAACACTGACTGTCCAGCGCCTTGGGACGTCCTCCCGACGTGAAAGTAATTTTGTTGTTGTTGTATCTGGATATTTGCGTGTGTCTGTATATTTGTGTGTGTCTATATATATGCGTTTATTTATATATATATATATATATGTGTGTGTGTGTGCGCAGGAAGCTGACCTGTCAGCACCAGACGTGTAATGACCGGTTTCCTGTGGATCCTCGGTACGCCCGGGACACCAGCATACACCGGTTATATCCAGACTTGTGCAGTACTGTATAACGGGTTCTGAGTGTGTACCATCATAATCAATCTCACCCGCTCACCTGAACTTGAATCAGGTGTCATTGACCCCCCACACAGGCCTGCCGTTTCGCGACGAGTAGAGTTAGGTCCGAGTGCACCTACCGTTTGGCTTCAACCACTTTTTGGCGTGGAGATAACTCTCAATCCTCCTCTCGTGAAATAACAAATAGCCCATAGGTTCCGAGATAATGATGTCCACCTTTTCGGGGATAGAAATCTCCTCGATTTTCCCTTCCAGCACCATCACCTGTTCGGAAAGGTTATTGCTTTTCACCAGTATCTGAAGACATGAAGAGAAGAACAGCATCTCAGGACAAATAGGAGATCACAATGTCTGTTGACCAACTCACACTGTGCCGATTATAATATATAATACTCCTTGCATTTGATATAGCGCCTTATCACGTCTTCTAGATGTTTCAAAGCGCTTCACAGAATATACTTTAAAGTGAATTGACTATATATTTTGTGGGGAAACAGAAGCACAGCAGTGTCCCATAAACAATCATGGATTGAGTGACGAAATTATTATTATTATTTTTTGGGGAGGTATTATTACTACTGGAAAAACGATCTGCCAATTGTCTGACAACCGGGTTCCTTTCTCACATTTGGTCTACTTACATAATTTCAGTCACATTTACACTGCACCACAATAGACATTTATACTGCACCACCACTGACATACTGGGAGGCACATATACGATAAACAAACAAATATACTACAAACAAACAAAGACTGAGAATACAAGCAAGAACATTTGAATCTCGCTCAACCTATCGCGAGTTCCTTGTATAAGATATTCACCGTCCTCAAGTAGCCCTACCAAAGTAGACCTGATATTGTAATTGTGGTTTATATAGAGCATTGACACTCACAATAAGGTTGAGTAACACACCCTGTCCGAGCTTCAGTAATTGCTCCAAACTACAAGAAGGACCATCATGGACAGGTCAAGTTACATTTCAAATCACTTTTCTCCTGAACTTTGCTCAATTATATAACCTTCATTTTCTAAACAAAGTTACTGCTTCCAACATTTAATTCCTTGACACTAACACCCCATTTAATAACAGCACTTGCGTTTGATGTAGCGCCTTTGAATGTTCAATCGACTTGAAGTGCTTCACATTAATTAACAACAACAAAATTACATTTGTATAGCGCCTTTCACACTGGGAGGACGTCCAAGGCGCTGGACAGTCATTGTTCGGACCCGAGCTGGGAGTCGGGATTAGTGAGGGTGGAGGGTGGGGGGGAAGGAAAGTGATCAAAAGCACGGTGGATTAGGAGGGTTTTGAGATGGGTCTTGAAGGAGGAAAGGGAGGGGCGAGGCAGAGGGACTGCGGGATGGAGTTCCAGAGGGTGGGAGCAGAGTGGCAGAAGTCCTGCCAATGGTGGGACAGGGGAGCCAGGGGACATGAATCAGACCAGAGCTCGCTGAATGGAGGGAGGGAGCAGGTTGGTAGGGGGTTAGGAGGTCGCAGAGGTAGGGAGAGCAAAGCCATGGAGGGCTTTGAAAGTGAGATCCAGGATCTTGAACTGTATCCTCTGTGTGATGGGAAGCCAGTGGAGTCGGATGAGGATGGGGCTGATAAGAGTCACGGAGCCTGGTGCGGGAGAGGACACGGGCTGCAAAGTTATGGATGATCTGCAGCCTATGGAGGAATGAGTTGGAGAGGTCAACAAGCAGGGAGTTTGCGTTGTCAAGCTTGGATGTTATCAATGCGTGTATGAGGGTTTTCGCAGCCTGTGGTGTGAGACAGTGGTGGAGTTGGGAGATGTTGCGGAGGTGGGGGAAGGCAGAGCGGGTCATGGTACGGATGTGGGGTAGAAAGGACAGTTGAGGGTCAAACAAGGCGCCAAGGTTCTGGACTGGCTTAGTAAGGTGGAGTGTGCCACTATGGATGGTGATGCTGTCAGTGCCTGAGTTGTGGAGGCGCTGACGGGAGCCAAGCAGGAGGACCTCCTAATTGGACCGAGGCCAACAACAAAAACAACTTATTATAGCATTTATATAGCGCACTTCATGCCGGACAGGGTTCTCAGAGCACTTAATTATTAATTGCTGAATGTATATTTTTGTGGGCAAAGGCAGGAGCCAAGTAATGTCTCACATACAGCCTTGAAGTCAATTACTAATTTTTCTGGGGTGTTGTTGGCCATTATGACTTGAGAAATTTTCTTCTCTTTTCGAACAGTGCCATGGGATCTTCAACATCTACCTGGACAGGCAGATGGGACCTCAGTTTAAAGTCTCATTGAAAGGATTTTACAATCCTTTGAAAACAAAAAGCTACTAAGCTAGTCAACAATAACTTGCACTTATTAGCTGTTTTTCAAGTTGGATGAACATCTTGAAGTGCTTAAATGAGAGACTAAACTAAGCATTGGCAGCCTGGCAAACTCAGTAGCACTCCCACCTCGGAGTCAGAAGGTTGTGGGTTCAAGCCCCATGTTGGGACTTTTAACTCAAACTCCAAGCTGCCACTCCAATGCAGTGCTCGGGGTGGGGAGGTGCTTATCGGAGGTGCCATCCTTTAGATGAGATGTAACAAATACACAGTCACTGCACTTCGCAGTAAATCCTGTGTAGTGCTATGAGATGTCCATCCCGACATGAAAGGCACTATATAAAAATGCACGTCTTAAGCATTGTCATCCAGAGTTGACATCTCTTTATAAAGCAAGAATGAAAAGAGGGCCTGACAGCCACCCTAGTTACAGCTTTCTCAGTAATATCTGAAGTGCAAAAAGTAATAAACAAAATAGCGGTGGGGCCAAGCCAGCAAGCTGCCTATAGGGAGAAAAGATCTTCTGTGGGATTATAATAATAACAATCCTTACATTTGAAAGAGCGCTTTACCATGTCACTGAGACATAAAATAAATACAACAAAGAAATTTTGGTGAGGCTAAAAATGTATGAAAATATATCTCAAAGTTCTTCACAGGATAGACTGTAAAGTTATGTTTATTAGATTATGGTGGTGTGAAGTACGTTTAATAATTCTTCCAGGAATGATTTCTGGCAATAAACTACAGCCTCCTTTATTCACAGTGCTGAGTGAGCCACTACATCAACCAAATGAGACAGATGTTGATATTATAAAACAGTGCAGCTGCCACAGACCAGTGCAGTCAAACAGACGACTGTGAAAACCACAGAGAAACTAGACACCGGGTGAACAGCTGCTGGCAGCAGCTAAAGGAGGCAGCAATATCTTCACCAACTTATTGCACTAAAAGTTAAACATTTCCTTATGATATAAAACAATAATCATTGTATTTGATATTGTACTTTATTACGCTCTCCACAGCGATGAAGTGAGTGACTGATTTTATTGGGGTGATTGTTGGCAAGGACACTTCCTTCACTTTTCAAACAGTGACACGTCCACCTGAACAAGCATACAGGACCTCGGTTTGAACCCAAGACCTCTGACTCAGAAGTGAGACTGTTACTAACTGAGCCATGCGACCATCTGCATATTTGTGTGTTTAAAGCATGTGCATGTATATATGCGCTTGACAGCAATTGCTCAAGACAAAGTTCTGTACGAAACGCAAGATATATCGTCAGCCGATATCCAAAGGTCTTTTGTAATGAGTTCAGTCAGGTAACTGATTTATTTCCCACCATCTCCTGCACTCGAGTGGAACAATGCTGACCAGCCAAGCTTGTTGGTATTAGTGTGATACCTGTATGTACAAAACATCTGTGAAATTTGCTTTCTTTTTAAAAAAATCGAAAACTGCAAGCCTCAAAACACACTGCGGTATCTTTCTGGAAAGGCTAAGGTCTTGGCCTGGACATCTGGAAAAGGTTTATCTTACTTCACCTTGTTGGCTGACGGCTGACAGGACTTGCCTGACCGTGAAGCCCCCTCTCCTGTAGGGCATCGGCTGCTTCCTGTTTATTCACGTGCTCTGAGTACACGTGGTTGTGCTCGGGTTGTGGATGAGTCACATTGCTGATTCACTTGAGCAGTAGAGTGGCCAGTCCAGGCATCTAAAGCAATGGGCTGAGAGAGGCCAGTAAACCCCCAAACTATAGTACAAGCTACAAGTGACTGCACAAGCTGTAAACCACAGCACCAGCTACTGTGGCCATGACCCTTTATAACACGGTGCTTTAAGTCCACAAAAAGAGACCTCGTGCTACACAGGTCATTTTATAATAATAATAATCCTTGCGTTTGATATAGTGCCTTATCACATCGTTGAGATTTCTCAAAGCGCTTCACAGAATATACACAAGTGAATTGACTACATTTTGTGGGTGAAATGCGACAGCCAATTACGCACAGCAGTATCCCACAAACAGTCATGGATTGAGTGACCAATTTTTTTTTGAAGGGCTTATGACTGACCCCCGGAAAGCGATCCATCAATCAACTAAGAACAGAGATTCTATTTACTGTTAGGTAAACAGAGGAGTAAAGAAACTTGCCTAAGATTTCACCCTGCCTGGGAACCAAACCCAGGTCCTCCCGCTTGCTAACCACTACGCTACGTGGAGTCCTGTAGCTCAGTGGTTAGAGCACTCGCTTTGCAAGTGAGAGACCTGAGTTCAATTCCAGGCAGAGGGCGAAACCTTGGGCAAGTTTCCTTACTCCACACACCTAATAATAATACCTCCAAAACCAAAAACAATAATAAATTGGTCATTTTCAATCTATGACTGTTTGTGGGACATTGCTGTGCGCAATTGGCTGCCGCGTTCGCCCACAAATATACAGTCAATTCACTTTACAGTGTGTTCTGTGAAGCGCTTTGGGACGTCCTCCCGACGTGAAAAGCGCTATATCAAATGCAAGGATTATTATTATTATTATTATTACAGGACTCTATATCAAGTTGCTCCAGGACTACAGTCCGGTTCCTCAAGTCGCCAATGATCACATTAACGTGTTGCGGGGAGACTGTGTTAAAAGGTATTGCACGTGTCCGTGTTAATGTGTGGTGGTGTGTCCAGGTAGTACCTCGGCATACTTTGACATCGCGCTGCCTTCCACAGCGTAGACCTTTCTCGCTCCTGCCTGAACAGCGAAGAATGAGAGGATTCCTGATCCACAGCCGACATCCAGAATAACCTGTGATGACAGGACAGTTAGGTATTGGTCAGCACCCTCTCGCTCCCAGGTAATCAGTAAAGCCGTCCTCCGCAGCGGTTACTGTGTGCCAGTTTACACACCGGATAGAAGGGCAGAGGAGAGCTTTGCACTTTTGTTGGCAGTTGAGGGTGGCGCTATTATGTACCTCATCTGGGCACCAACAGATGGCAGTAGAGTGATGGGGCACAGGTCTGAGGAATTCTCCACCTCAACCACAATGCTGGGCTGCTCCCCTTCATCCCACTGGTGGATTGGTAGCCCCAAAGGCTTGTGGTATAAAATAGGGGCACTGGGGAGACAATCATGGGGACGCTTCAGAGTCAATCATGAGGGATTGTTGGGAGCCAATCATCGGGGTGCAAGACAGATAATCATGGGGTCCCTCAAGAAATGTCCCGATTTATATAGCCAGTCCACCACTGACCACTGAAACCCCTCCGAAGAAGCTGCACTCTTTTCTCCCATCCAACAATCTATCGGTGGAATTTCCACGTGTAGGTGGGATGCATGGAATTCTCAGTTTGGTTTGGATACTCTTAAGCATGGTGATGGGTTTCCGCATGTGTCAAGACACACTACTGACCAGATTTTTTTCCCCTCTCCTGTCAAGCTCTCCCAAACTCACCTTATCTTTGAAATCCACATGGTTCTCCAGTATAGCTCTCTGGTACGTGGCTGTCCCGATATAGTCCTGCAGCGTGTTCTGTTGTTGTGATAAACAGCCATGAAACTAAGAGAAAAAGAGCATTGCCGTGTGGCATTATTTCCTGCAGGATGAGACAGGACATTCAGGGTTGTTTGGTCTTGTGGTTTTGACAAAGCCATAGACACATGAACATTTACGGAAGGAAGTCTCTCTGCCCAATGGAGCCTACTGTCCATTCAATCCCACTGCCCAGCCCTATCCCTGCAACCCTTCAAGCCTCTATCTTTCATGTACTTGTCTACTACCCTCTCGAAACCCGCAATGGATTCTGCTTCTCCCATCTTACTTGGAAGAGCATTCCACGACCCAACAACAATTTGAATGAAAGAGAATCCTCCTAAGCTCTCCTTTCGCTCCTTGCCTTTATTTACTTACCAGTAACACTGAGAGCTTGAATTTCCGAGATTTCCAAAAGGAATTGGTAAACAGGGAACATACAGATACCAGATCTGTCACAGGCTGACCCTCCTCCTCAGTTTCCACTTCTGGATTGCAACTGCTGGGACATCGTGTCCGACCGGAGGTTCAGATCCCTTATTTACCAATCCACAGCCGATCACAGATCTGTACTTCTTCGCTTACCTCACACTGAGCTGTACGCTCCCAGTCCCAAGCTCTCCACTGTTAGCTCATTCGAAGTCTGCAACTTGCATTTGTATAGTGCTATCAAAATGAAAGAATGCCTCAAAGCACTTTTTTAAAAAAAAACAAAGAATATGGAGCTAAAGGTTATTCGTAAGTAAGAGGAGATAAATTATAAGATAGTCAGTCGGATTTCTAATAGGAAGTTTAGGAAGATAAAGTTTCAGTTATATGGAGAGACTAGAGAGGATGGTATTGTTCTCCTTAGAACAGAGAAGGTTAAGGGGAGGTTTAATAGAGGTGTTCAAACTTATGAGGGGTTTTGATAGAGTAAATAAGGAGAAACGGTTTCCTCTGACGAGGACCAGAGAGGAGTCAAGGAGAATTTTTTTTACCCACAGAGAGTTGTTATGGTCTGGGATGCATTGCCTGAAAGGGTGGTGAAAGCTGATTCGATGGTTGCTTTCAAAAGGGAATTGGATATGTACTTGAAAAGGAAAAATTTGCAGAGCTATTAGGGTAAGAGCAAGGAGTAGGACTAGTTGGATAGCTCTTTCAAAGAGCCGGCATAGGCACAATGGGCCGAATGGCCTCCTTCTATGACTGTATGGTTGGTGAAAGGGTGGAACTTGCTTCAGGAAGCTGCAGATGAGGCAAAAAGTATCAATGTATTCAAGAGAAAACTTTATGCATACTTGAGGGAGAGGGTATAGCAGGGGTGGGAGCTCTCTTGTAGTATAAACCCCAGCATGAACGAGTTGGACTGAACAGTCTGCTTCCGTGCTGTATCACTATGTAACTCTTTGTAAGATGGTAAATAGGACGTAGAAAATAAACCCAGAATAGTTGCACATAAGCCAAGACAGTATGACCAGAATGTGCAGGTTCAGGGGTTGTTAAACGTAATCTTTGGGATAGATACCACCAGGGAGTGTTCCTTTACACAGGGGAGTAACCAACAGCTGGTACAGGATATCAGGAATGGTGGTAGAAAGCAGGAATTTGGGAGTTGGTACAGTGGGTGTCCTATAAGAGTAGGAATCCCTTCCCTATCTTACCAGTAGACACATTATTAACAAAGCTCTTTCAAAAAAATTACTACTCCTTATTAAAAAAAACAAAGCTCAGGGTTGAACTGAGCCGTACAGACCTGGGACAGAGCTTCTTCTTCTGAACCCACTCCATCCTTCCTGGCCTGCTTCGTGTTCCCTGCCCCCTCCACTCCACCGTCAGTGGGTAGGCTTTCAGTCACTTTGCCCCTGCAACTTCCTTCCACCTGATCTCCCACTTTGCTCGAACTCCCACTCCGTCTCTGTGAAGCACTTTGAGTCATTCTTCTGGGTGAAAGGCTCTGCACAAGTGCAGGTTGCAGATCTTGTCATTTGTGTTAAGCTTGTGTTACATGGTTACAGCCGGTAACACTGGCACAGTATTGGGTTCTAACACTGGCACTGTCTACCCAGCAGCTGTTCCTCTGGCCATATGGTCGTCTGACTGTCTGTCTCTTACCTGGAAGTATTGTGAGGCAGACGCATCCTCTGTCCTTTCGCTGATTGCTGAGCTGGCTTTACTGGAGTTTTTATGAACTTTTAACGAATTATAAAATGTAGAGAACTCTGTGGATGAAAAAGAATATTGTTAAGTTCCAATATTTGTCAGCTCTGACCTTTGCTTTTACCCACCAAGCCATTTCTCAGCTTAGTTGGCTGGGTGCTTCCCTGTTTACTTATTATAATAATAATCATCATCATAATAATAATCCTTGATTTGATATAGCTCCTTATCATGTCGTCAAGACATCTCAAAGAACTTCACAAAATATACTGTCAAGTGGATTGACTGTATATTTTGTGGACGAAAGGTGGCAGCCAATTGCGCACAGCAGTGTCCCACAAACAGTCGTGGATTGAGTGATCAAGTTATTATTATTTTTTTTGAGGCATTATTACCCTCGGTATCTGATTCTGTAGGTTCTGTGACTGGCGTTGAAACAGCCATGAAGTGAATGACCAGTCTTATCTGGGGAGACGGGAATTGTTGGCCCAGACACCGGGAGAAACTCCCTTCCCTTTTTAAACAATCCCCACAGGATCTTTCAACCTTTCACTGCGTGGTACAAACAATGGGACATTCAATCAGACAATGATAAACTGTGAACAGCTCCACAGTACCATCTGAACTCTCTTCAGATCTGTCAACATTCCCCTCACTGGTGTTGTTTATTAAACTCTATACAGATGGAACATGCGAGTGAGGGTTCGAGATTTGCCAGTTCTGCGCCTGAGGTGCTAACACAATCAGCAGAGAGAAACATCAGGGTCCCACATTAAAAATCCACACAGCTTTCAGCTACTTGCCATGATCCTGGGGGAGGAATTCCAGTTACTCAATTTTTCTCAACATTTCGGAGCATCCCGAACATGGCACGTTGCTGAACTCAGTCCTAACTTGAATCCTGTTTCCTGTAGTTCTTAAAAAGAGGCTTAGGTGAACAGAGAAATCAAGGGGATATAATGCCTTCAAATCTGAGGCTGTATTTAAGAATGAGCCAGATGGTTGTGGGTTCAAGCCCCACGTCAGGACTTGAAACCACATACTTTAAAATGACACTCAAATGCAGTGCTGGGGGGGTGTTGCATTGTTGGAGGTGCCATCCTTCATATGAGACGTTCAGGTGGACATTAAAGATTCCATGGCAGTAATCAAAAAGAGAAGGGAGTTTCTCTCAGTGTCCTGGCCAATAATTCCCCAAATAAAATTGGTCACTCACTCTATGGCTGTTTGTGTGACACTGCTGTGCACAACTAACTGGCTGCTGGATTTCACTCAAAAAATGCACAGTCCATCCACTTTACAGTTTATCCTATGAAGCGCTTTAAGACATCTCAACAACATGATAAGGCACTATATCAAATGCAAGGATTATTTTTATGTGCCAAATTCTGGATGATCTGAAACAACAGTTCTTCAACATAACATGTTGATGCCTTTCACAATAGGAGGAGATCTGAAAGAGCTTCACAGGATTTACTGCAGTCGCATCCCACTATAACACTAATGCCTACATGCCTTGGATTAGCCCACCTGTTCTATTTATAAAGACTGATACTCCATCTGATGTGGTCTGGTCTGGTGTGGTATTCCCCCTCCACCCAAGTTCTAGCTGTCTAGGCTCTGATTTTAAGGTTCCCCCTTGTAACAGATCTCTCTTCCAAGGGGAAAGGTCATCCATGATCTAACCTGTCACTTCCTTTTCCTTATTTTAAACACTTCAATCAAATCACTTCCTTTCCTCTTTATAAAAAAATTCCCAATCTAGCAGGCTTCTTATCATAACTTGGCCCCTTCATATATTAAGGTAATGAACCATTGCGGACACTCTCTGAGGCTAGTAAAAATCCTTCATAAGTTTGATTCCCCAAAACTGATCACATTATTCCAAATGAGGTCTGACCAGCCCTCTATATAACTGCAGTAATACCTCTTTGCTATTACATTTCACACCTCTAGTACTGAAGTCCCATTTGCTTTATTGACTGTTTCTGCATGTGTGAATTCGATTTTAGTTTAAAGTCTAGGGCCTTCAACCCCTAGATCTGTCTGCTCATCTACCCCTCCTAGAGCATCCCCATTCAGAATATAAGAATAAATACAATAATACTTGTATTAGATACCACCTCATGGTGTTGTCTAAACATCTCAAGGCACTTCGCAGGATGTACTGTAGAATGCAGTGACTGATTATTTGTGGGTGAACGTGGCAGTTAATTTTGCGCACAGTAATAACCCACAAACAAAAAATGCCCAATTTTATTTGGGGAATTGTTGGCCAGGACACCAGGAGAGAGAAACTCCCTTCTCTCTTTGAATAGTACCAAACTTTCACTTGAACAGGCAAACAGGGCCTCAGTTTAACATCTTATCTGAAGGACAACCTCACTGACAAACCAGACCCCCTCACCCCCTGTACTGCATTGCAATATCAGCTATGTCTGTGAGCTCAAAGACCTGACGTGGGGTTTGAACCCACAACCTTCTAACTCAGAGGCGAGAGTGCTACCAACTGAGTCAGGCTGACATTTGCTCTCAATCTCTGAGACAAGGCAGTATCTCAGTAAGTTGTAATGAAATGTGGTAATTGGTAATTGAGAAGAGCAAATGGTAGGTCTGAAACCTTCAGGCTCAACCACTGTGCTGACAACAGTATGGGGAGCGAATGTTTTTATTCCCATCAATAGTGTTATTGACAGAGGCATGCTTCCTTAGGTTCAGACACTCTTTACAGCAAAGAGCCAACAACCAAATATCCATGACTGTACAGCAAGTGCCTTTGTTATTCCTAATGCTGTCCAGTGGCTTGTGACGTCCTCCCAAAGTGGAAGGTCTTATATAGTGAAATCTATTTTTATTAATGCAGTATTTGAAAAATCTAAATCTCTTCGCCGCTCTCACACGGCAATCACCAACTGAGCAACTTGCAGTTCTTTTATTTGATCAGGCGGGTGTCTTAACACATTCAGAAACCCACCACCATACCTAAAGAATATCCATTTGGTTAGCCACCCACATTTCCCTATGTCTGGAATGGAAATGCATGCTCTTTGCCTGGAGGGACACACTCTGCTTACCTAAGTCCAGAGAGTATTAGGCGCAGGTTGGCAAGAGCCAAGGCTTGGGGATCCCAGAGTGTGCATTGAGATACTGCTAGAGTCAATCCACCTAAAACCACATAGCTTGCCATTGATATCGCTCTCTGGCAAGCTTTCCCACTGCTTGTCCAGCTGGGACCATCCTACCCATTAGGGCTTTGGTTTGTAGGGTTAACAGGAGCTGAATTGGAAGCAGCCCTTACACTCAATTGCACTTACAGCAGCTTGAGAACGGTGTGGGAATTCAGACCTCCCAATGCAATAACACTGCTAGTCTGGCAGGTACAGTAGGAACAGTCACAGGGGAAACTATCACAGGGGAAACCATGCAGAAGTAGCCAAAAAGAGTGGAGGCAATAAATCCAGCCTAATGTGGCTTCACGACCTGCACAGCGTGTGAAAGATATTGTGATCCTTCCAGTATATAACAGACCTGCAGCCAGCAGTTCTTTTTCTGTACAGGTTGTGCTGGCCTGCTCAGGAGCAAATTGCACGATTCCCAAATTGAGAAGAGTGGTTCCCACAGGATCCCGGATCTGTCCCTCAAGGCCTCTGCTCGGACTCTGGGAGCCTCCTCTGGCAAGCTTCACCGAGGTCAGCACTGAGATCGGTGTCCGAGCGGAACTCCAATGAGTCACCACAAAACACATCTGGACACGGGCAGGAATGAGGCGTCAATGAATCTGGCACTTTAGAATCCCAGTTACCCACTGAGCCCCATAATGATTAAAATAATATTAATTCTTGCAATTGACCCAGCGCTTTATGACGCCATCAAGACGTCTCAAAGAGCTTCACAGGATACACTATAAAGTGATGTGACCATATGTGTTTTGTGGGTGAAACACCTTGATAAAGGCTTGGGTCTAAGTTCTTCCTGAATGATGAGCCGACTATGTGGTTTTAGCAGGTTAGATTCCAGCAGTTACCCCAACGCACACTCTGGGATCCCCAAGCCTTGGCTCTTGCCAAGCTGCGCATAAAACTTTCAGGAATTAGGTAAGCAGAGAGAGAGTGCGCATTCCATTCCAACAATCTATCTCTGGGATTTCCATGTGTAGGTGGCATCCAGTTTGGTTTCGATGCTCTTAAGCATGGTGATGGTTGTCAACATGTGTCAGACACCTCGTTGACCAAAACAAAAATGAGCCAACTGGTTACCAAGTGAACACTCCAACATGGTGTGGGGGGAGGGGGGGAAGGACCCAGGCATGCCTGCCATTAACCCTCAGGACTCCGCTCAGATATCAAACTCAGTAAGTACAAATGTCCAAATCGCTGTCCAGCGCCTTGGGATGTCCTCCCGACGTGAAACACACTATACACTATAATTACTATATATGTAATTTTGTATTGTATTGTGTGTGGAGTCCTGCAGCCTAATGGTTAGAGCACTTAGGACAAGCAAGCGGACCTGGGTTTAATTCCCAGCAGGGCGAAATGCTAGAGAAGTCTCCTTACTCCACACACCTCTGTTCACCTAGCAGCGAGTAGAAACCCGGTTGTTAGTTGATTTGCAGATTGCTTTTCCGGGGGTAATAATAAAAATAAAAAATGAATAATAAATTGGTCACTCAATCCACAACTGTTTGTGGGACACTGTGCTGTGCGAGTTTCGCCCACAAAATATACAGTCAATTCACTTTTCAGTATATTCTGTGAAGAGCTTTGAGACATCTCAATGACGTGATAAGGCACGATATCAAATGCAAGGATTATTATTATTATTGAGGCGGGATTGTGGCTAAAGGAGAAGCCAGGCAGCAGATCGATGTTGGAGCGAGCCACGTCCCGGATACCTGCAGGATTTAAGTTTTTTGGGACTTGCTCATGGCATTGTTGAGAAATCGCTGATGAGGTTCCCAGCGACCGGAAAGACGAGGAGCAATAGAGGGCAGACAGACTGGCGCATCTGTAAGCCAGTCTGCTGTATGTTTATTGTTAAACAGTGATTCCCAGGCGAAGCACTTGTTTAATTTATTGCCGCTTTCTGACAAGAGTAGATAAGATGCACTGAATATATTGCTCCTCAGAGCACCCGGACGGCAGCGATTACACTTAAGAATTGTAGGGGATATTGGGCCGTGCTCCCCGCTGTTTAACTGATGAATGCGCAGTAAAGCAGCGGTCACAGGCCCAGATAAATGGATTCCATATGTTTCTCCTCTATGACCCCAGGTCTCCCAATGCCTGCTGGTAAATGTCAGCGTCCTGTACCCAGAGCCCGTGCCCGAGTCACTGCCTGACTTTACCACAAATCAATAGCATCAAGTCACTGTAATAATAATAATATTCCTTGCATTTAACAAGGACTTTAGTTTTTCTGTGTTTATTAATTTCATTTTTTTTAGAAATTTCGAGTTCTATGTATGTAGTTATTATTATTGTCCAAAAATTGGACAGTTTCAGGGCTTTCAGTTACTGTAATGAGACAATTCAGACGTGCCTGCAGAGCATTCTCCTCCTCCATTACGCAGGTGTGTCTGGTGAAGTGTATGTATGTGAGAGGAGGGAGGCATTGCACAGGTGTGAGTGTGCCTCTCTTTGAGAGAGACACACGTGCGTGCGTGTGCGACTGTGTGCGTGAGTGTGAGCAGAAATACTGGAGCCCATGTCCTGTAAATGTCCATTAGCAGGATGACACCAGTGGCTTTTGGGTGGAGGCCAGGAAACCAGTGTGAAGGTGTGAACAGCTCATTGCTTGCCCATCTCACACCTGGGTAACGGGAAGATAAGACTACCCTGTGCCTGGGCTGACCTTTCTTTCTCTCACCAATGTGCTCCCCTCCTTTTTTCTTCTATTCCTCTACTTTGTTCGGTCAGCAGGGTGTCTGGCACATGCGCAAACCCATTATCATAATAATAATAATAATTCGCCCACAAAATATACAGTCAATTCACTTTACAGCGAAGCACTTTGAGTCGTCTCGAAGATGTGATAAGGCGCTACACCAAATGCAAGGATTATTATTATTTTATTATTATTATCATATCTAAAACCGACTGAGATTTCCACAGATGTATGCCACCAATGCATGGAAGTTACTCTGTGTCACACAAAGAGTAGTAGAAATCTGGAACTCACTCCCTCAAAAGGCTGTGGGTGCTGGATCCATTCAGATTTTCAAGATGGGTGTATAGATTTTTGTTAGGTCAGGGTATCTAGGGATATGGGCAAAGGCGGGTAAATGGAGTTGAGGTACAGGTCACACTTTGACCCATTATCCTACATGAAAGGTGCTACAGTGCAGCCTCGCTGCAATCCTTTTAGAACTAATTTGGTTATAATGTAGTCACAGAGTGGATCCCAGCAGCAAACAGCAAGTGACGTTGCTAGTGACCTGACAATCTGGAAGTTGGCCATTTTAACTTCCCTTGTTTAAAACGTGCCTGCCTGCCAGATCATCAAGGTGCCACTGATATCACTTCCTGCTTGGCACACACACCCCAAACAGGAAGAGATGTCGGCAAGGAACCAGTGACTTGCAAGATAAGCAGGAGAACCAGCCAGAGTGTAGAGTGAAAGGGATGAAACCAGCTACTGCACCTCGCTAAATGAATTGTGACCACCACGGCATAACGGCTCCACTGGACATGGATACAGATTGTGGTTTTATTGCTCTCCAGTACTGCATCCAAGTGGCCATTATAGATGTTTAAGGTTTAACACTGAATATCATAAAGGCCTGATATCTACAGGGCTCACTGGACAGTGATGAGGAGTAGGAGATTTCTGTACCCCAGGGCCATGACGCCTGACTGACTTACCCTCCCTACCTCAGCTCAAATTGACTGCCGTGTTCTCTCACAAAAGACAAAATCACTACACTTTACAGTGGAGTCCAGTATCGCAGTTGTTAGCGCGTTCACCTCACAAGTGAGAGGTCCCAGGTTCTACCCTCGGCAGGGCAAAACCTTCGGCAAGCTTCCTTACTCCACAGGCCTCTGTTTACCTAGCAGTAGGTAGGAACCCGGTTGTTAGTCGATTAGCGGATCACTTTCCGGGGGTAATAGTCCCTCCCCCCAAAAATTGGTCAATCAATCCATGACTATTAGTGGGAGAGTGCTGGGAGCAATTGGCTGCCGCATTTTACCCACAAAATAGACAGTCAATCCACTTTAGAATATATTCAGTGAAGTGCTTTGAAATGGCTCAATGACGTGTTAATGCGCTATATCAAATGCAAGGATTATTATTATTATTATAATTTCCCGTGAACCGGCTCGAGACGTCCTTTTGATGTGAAAGGAGCTGTACCTAACGTGAATTATTGTTGAATGGCTAAGAGGCAGTGAACACTCACCGTTGGATGACCTAAACTGTAGCAGCACGCTGCTGTAACCCACTGTGATGAGAAAAGCTTGTTTCCCTACTCGGCAGCTTTCCGTCTCCCGGCTCATGACACATTTGAACACGCACATGCCATCTCCTGAAAGAAACAGAAGTCAGGTCAAGATTCAGATTACGCCTTCGTTCCCGTTTGGTTTACACTCAATAGCTGGTAGCGTCCCAGAGCGCTTGACAGTGGCTGAGCACGATGCCGAGCCAGGGAATGGGGGAGGTGACCGTAGGGATGATCGAAGAGGAAGGTCTTCAGGCACGACCTGAATATAGGGAGGAAGGGGGCAAGGCAGAGGGATGGAGGGAGAATACTCCAGAGTTTGCAGGCGTAATGGCTGAAAGCGTGGCCACCAATGGTGGAATGGAGGGCACGAGGGACAAGCAGGAGGCCGGAGCCAGTCGAATGGAGGCAATGGGTAGTGGAATGGGGAATAAACAGGTCGGACAGGTAGAGAGGTCCAAGGGCCTGAAGGGATTTGAAGACGAGTGAGAGGGTCTTGAAATCGATCCATTCGGTGACAGGGAGCCAGTGCAGCCTTGCTTGAACTAGTGTGATGGGGATATGGAGTATAGTGCGGTTGAGAATGCAGGCGACAGAGTTTTGGATTAACTGGATTTTGTGGATAGTTGAGCTGGGGAAACCGGCGAGGAGGACATTTGAATAGTTGAGGTGGGAGGTGATGAACGCATAGATAAGTGTTTCGGCTGCATTTGGGAGACAGACGTACAGACAGAAACACACAGGCCGAGATAGATATACACATGAACACACACACAAAATCACTGCTCAAGCCTAGAAAACACCCACGTCAGCATGGGTGAAGAATTACTGTGAGCCTTTGACCTCACTGTACACTTGCCTGAGCCAGGCTGAGCTCTCTTTGTCCCTGCGGATCTGATCATTCCGACAATGATGACATCTGCCTGGTGATCTCTGTGTTAACTCATTCACAGTGTCTCCTGTTTGGCTCGGGCCTGTCTTTGCTCATCGGATAATGAAGGTGGAAATAGTTTGAGGAACGGATAAAATCATCCCCCGAGCTGGATGCGGCCCACGGGCCACCAATTGGACCACCTTGTTCTATGGCAATTGTCAACTATTTCTCCCCATAACAACAACTCTGGCATTTGATTTAGCACCTCATCGCGTTGAAACGTGAATAACACTTCATAGATGACTAATTTTTATTTGGGAGACTGTTAACCAAGGAACCAGGACACCCTTCTCTTTTTGAATACAGTAAAACTCACATAAGTCTTATCTTTATACATCGGATAATCCCCTAAACCGTACATTCACCCAAGTCCCATTCAGTTTACTATCAAAGCCACTTAGATTTATTTGCACTACTCGTATTAATCACCTCCCAACTCGAAAAGCTGCTCCCCTATGCTCTATTACTCCCACACTTACCGGCTGCATCGAATCGCAGGAAATGTAGTTTTGATCCTGCGATACATTCGCAGAAGAACTTCATTTTCCACGATTGAATGCAATTCCAACCTTACTGATAAGTCTGCATGCGGCCACGGATCAAGATGCATTGAATTGCTGGAAATGTATTCTTAACCTGTCACCGCATGCCCACTTACCGGCTACATTGAATTCTGCATATGCAGTGTAGATTATTGCTTAAATTGGATTTTATACGATTTACACAGTTTGCCTGCAATTCGAACTTTACTGAAGTCATATAAAATGTTATAGCGTCAACTGATTCAACGTATGCAAGTTTTAATGTAGTGCCGTGGGTTCTTTATCATTTACCTGAACAGGCTGATGGTGGAACCTCAATTTAATATCAGTACCTCTAACAATGCAGCAGCGCACTTGAGTATCAGCCTGAACTATGTGAGATTAAAGTCCCAATGAGGGGCTTGAACCCAAAACCTTTTGACTTAGAAATGAGACTGTCACCAAGTGAGCCACAGTCGCTATGCTGGAGGAGGGGGTTGAAAACAGATGCCAAATAATAAACTGACTTCTCTTTAAAATTATAATAGCTATTTTGTTCACAAGTTACAGTGCAGTGATTCTCATCGGATGTTTGAGCACATAAGCCAGCGTGTAACAGGGATAAGATCCATCTTGATTGATTGACCCGAGTTATTTATGTGGAAAAGGGGAATCAAAGTAGTGTTCTCCCCAACTTCAATGTCCTGACTGTCTGTCTCTTCCTCCCCCCACCCCAAACCCACACATCAGCTCCTGTCTGAAACCATGAAGAGAAGGATGGGAGCAAATAATCTGTTGACAGTGAATGGTTGTCAGTTCTCCAGAGAATCAGTGAATACTGATTTTATTGATGCCGTGTTAGCTGTGTGGACCTTGGATCATTTACAGTGGAGCTGGAGCCAGAGGGGAGAGACAAGTGGAGATCCAGGGGGAAGAAGGCATGACCTGGTGCGGAGGGGAGGGTGACCCGGGGAGGGGAGCAATGCCAGTGGGGTAGCAAACTGATGGCTGTTGCCTGGCTGACAAATGACAGACATGTGACTAGGCATTTTGGGGTGGGGGAAGTTTGGGGGTCAGACGTCTCCATTGTCAAGGTAGCTCCTGGTTAAGGCGTCTCGTGAGGGGAGAGCGGAGGAGAGTCTCTGCACTCTAACGTGTGATAATCACCGAAGGATCAGTGGATCCTGCAGATAACCTGAGCTAACCTTGGTCAGCCTGATGGATCAGATTGGGGTTCGCTGCCCCTGAAGCTGGCCCCAATCCAGCTTTCCATGCAAGTGGGGAATGGGATCGTTTTCCGAGCAGAGGTCCAGAGGCCTGGCACGCCCCGGCACCTGGAGGATTAGTTATTTAGAAATTGTTTTGTGGATACAGTAAGTTGGAGGCCTCCATGACGGACTCAATGATCTAAGACAGGGAGGTCCAACCAGCGGCCGATGGGCCGCATCCGGCCCCCAAACGATTCCCAACTTCATCAGCTGATGAGCAAATACAAGTGCCACTCAGGCCCTGAGCCAATCAGGAGATGGTCACCAGGGCCTCAGGCTCTGCCCAGCAATGGGACTGACCCATCAGGATAAAATATTGCTTACGTGGCCCACCGACATTTCTAAAACCTGACATCCGACCCTCAGCAGCCAAAAGGTTGGACCAACCTCAGCTCCTCCAGAGTATCAGTGAACCCTGGCACTATAATCGAGCACCACACCCCCACCCCATAATGCAAGGGTTTGGGGCCATAAACTGAAATCTCACATTATAACATGGCCGCTAAAAAAAATTAGTTTCCGGGTTGTCAGGTCACCCCTTCCGTCACTTCCTGTGCAGCACTTTGTGCACAAAACGCAGAACATCAGCACTTTAGCCCACGTGCACACAACATGCAGAAGACCATCTGTACACTGTGTATTCCGCTAGTACACCACTTGTCCACTGCACACCCGCACTGTAAACAGACCTACGCTGGACAGAAGCACATTACGGTGGGGTCGTGGGGGTCGATGAGGGAGTAACTGGCTGATCACCATCCTACAAAGAAAATTGGCCACTCACCCCATGGCTGTTTGTGACACTGCTGTGTGCAACTGCCTGCTCCATTTTGCCCACAAAACACAAGGTCAATTCACTTTACAGTATATTCTGTGAAGCGCTTTGAAACGTCTCAAAGATGTGATAAGGCGCTATATCAAATGCAAGGATTATTATTATTACTACAAGTCCTCCTACAGTGGTTTCATCTGCTTCAATTCCGGCAATAACTATTCCTAATGCCACTGCTTTTCCCATCCCTCCTCTTGTGCTCTCCGGGCATAGGCAACAGAAACTGTGAGAGAAACAGATCACTCGAGAGCTCACAGACACTCTGCTCCCCTGAGTTCCCAGCACCTGTAGCTCAAGGTTGCTAACGCACGGTGAAAGGATTCTCCACTTGTCAGACTCTTCCCCCATACGTACCCACACACACACATACATACACACACATGCATATGTCCACATTTCATTTAATAAACACTCAAATACCCACAGAGTGAGTAGGAGTCCCACTCAGTGACTTTAGGAAAGGAAACACTGGAAAGTCTGGTGCGAGTGGGTTAGAAAGGTTTAAAATTCACTGTCTCTGTTTCACTCAGAGTGAAGGGCATGTAAGGGGCACTCAGAGATGACAGTGCTAATAACTGAGCCAGCCTGACACAAGAAAGCAAGAGAAAAACATAGAGGGCGAGAGACAAGGAGAGAGAAATAGGTAGCAAGAGAGAAAAAGACTATAAGAGCGAAACATAGAGAGAGGGAGGGAGGGAGGGAGAGAGAGAAAACGATGGAAGAGAGAAAAAGGCATAAGAGATAGAAAAAGATAGAAAGAGAGCGAAACATAGATAGAGTGAGAGAGAGAGAAAGAGAGGATATACTGAGACGACCATATACCAGCATAAATGTGCAGACAGGTCATGTCTCATGAGGTAGTTACAATCAGCTCACAAATGTCTCTCGCATCGACCAGTTGAGGGTGAGTGCCTGTTGGAGTAGCTAACCCAAAAGCTTTTATGCTGAAGTTCAGGAGAGTACAATATAGCGGAGCGCTCGGGGCAGCTGCCTGGAACTGAGATATCACTGATGTCCCGGCCACAAATTACCTGGTTGTCCCCTTCCACCTCCCCACAGTCTTGCTGTATCAGCCAGGTCTCTCCCAGACCACTTGCGATCAGCTCATCGACTACAGTCGCGGGAAAAGCATTTACAACTAAAATTGTTACAAAGGAATTTTTTTTCAAAATGTCTAATATAAACAATCTAATAACTAACTCATATTTTTTGACTAAGAGGAAAAATCCACTATATTAGTGCTTTTTTTTGCTGGAAAATGCATTTGTACTAATAATCCTTACATTTAGTTTAGCACATTTTTAATGTTGGGACTTCGCAAAGAGCTTCACGGGATATACTGTAAAGTGTAGTGATTGCGTATTTTGTAGTAAACGCAACAGCCCAATTGTGCATAGCAATGTCCCACAAACAGCCCTGAGGTGAATTTTATTTGGGGGATGTGTAGGCCAGGACACTGGGAGAAACTCCCTTCTCTTTTCGAGTAATGCCATGGGATCTTTAACATCCACCTGAACAGGCAAACTGGGCCGAAGTTTAATATCTCATCCGCAGGACGGCACCTCTAATAGTGCAACACCCCCAGCACTGCATTGAAGCGTCCGCCTAAATTGTAAGATAAAAAGCCCCGATGTGTAAAGATGTACACTTTACAACCTTCTGACTCGAAGGTGGGAGTGCTACCACCTGAGCCAGGCTGACACCTAAAAGATAAGATTGGGATCAGCTGTAAAATCCACAATGGCAGATAGTCTCTCAACATCAACTGATTCAACTCGCAAGTGATGAATGGAATATTCACTTTGACAAGATATTGGCAGAGACGGATGGCACCACACCCCTACCAGCATGGCTCAGCATCTCCGGGAGAAAGCGAAAACATGTTTAATAGAGGTGTTCAAAATGATGAGGGGTTTTGATACAGTAGATAGGGAGAAACTGTTTCGTCTGGCGGGTGGGTCAGTAACCAGAGGACAGATTTCTGCAAAAGATGCAGAGGGGAGACGACGAGGAGAGTTTTTTTTACTCAGAGTTGTTGAGGTCTGGAATGCACTGCCTCAAAGGGTGGTGGAAGCAGATTCGATAATAGTCAACGTTAACAAGACCGAAGGCAGATGGATGCACACTTCACCTTACTAAGCCTTGGTGTCTTGTTTGACCCTCAATTGTCCTTTCTACCCCACATACGTGCCATGACCCGCTCTGCCTTCCCCCACCTCCACAACATCACCCGGCTCCAACACTGTCTCACACCGCAGGCCACCAAAACCCTCATACATGCTTTCATAACATCCAGGCTCGACTATGCGAACTCCCTGCTTGTCGGCCTCCCCAACTCCTCCCTCCT